AAGTCCTTATTTCTAGAGAGGAATGTGCATTTGTTGGGCAAACCATTAAAACACCTCAACAATGAAGAAAAGCCTCTTTTATATAATCTGCATCTGTAAATAGCATCCTTGTAGTGTTTGTCGTTGTCACGCCCTCTGCAGCCAGAGGGTGCTCCTACTCTGTCCTGTCTGTTGTTTCCATTGCTTTGCTGTCCTTCCGGTGTTTCTCTCTCCGTGGGGGTATATATTTCTGGGTCTTTCATTTGCCTTGGCTCAGCATTGACGTTCGTATGTCCTGAGACCCACCTAGCACCAGGTCGCCCCACGTCCGCTAACTGAGAGCATAGGTTTCTATACGGCATTTCCTGAACAGCTGAGCCCGGGCCAACCCCCGTCTCATGTTACGCATAGGGTCTTTTACGCTCTCCTGCCATTCCAAAGTTCGTCCTTTCCGACATCCGTGACAGTCGTGTTCTGCCTGAAAATGTAATTGGGTATTTTGATGTGCAGCAAAAAACACTCTCATAACAGAGTACAAACAGCATGGTCTTTATGTTGAACAAATCCATATTCATCTCCACAAAATGGCTGAAATGAGTAAACATACTTTATTATATTTTCACATGCTAAAGTAGTCATGTAGTTATTATAGTTTATGGTACATAATTCTTGTTCTTTCTTTCCCCTAGATATTGATGAATGTGCTCAAAACTCTTCAATCTGCGGTTTAAACACAATGTGTTATAACAAAGATGGAGGCTTTGATTGTTCGTGTAAAGAAGACTACCTTCCTTCACCTGGACTTGAATGGGAATTTGGAAAAACACGGTGCCTAAGTAAATACATTTCTGTAAAATTGCCAAAACCTCATGCTATCATAATAAATACATACACTGTAGTTACGAACACCCTCTTCGGCTTTTTGTTTTCTTTTCAGGTGCAGAGAAAGACATGGGAGGCTGCCTAAAGGCAAGTGAACAAGAAAAAAATAACTATTTAAAAGACAAAGAGGAAACTATGGTAGCTGAATACAGCCAAAAAATCACACACTAACAAGATCTTCTTGAATTCCTGTCCAGTTCCATTGATTTTTTTTCTAACCATTTTATCCAGTACAGGGTCATGGAGAATACTGGAGCCTTACCCCAGAAAGCAAGGGGTGCAAGGCATGATACACCATGGATGGGATGCAGGTCCATTACAGGGCACACACACACTCACATCAGGGATAGTTTTTTCCAGAAGCCAATTAACCTACCAGAATGTCTTTGGACTATGGGAGGAAACTGGGCCTGGCAAAAATGGGGAGAAAATACATTCTCCACACAGAAAGCACCCCAGCTCTAAAACTAAGGGCTACAGTGCTGAAAGTCAGCAGTGCTTTCCACTGCACCAGCATACCACTTCTAAACCTATATCCATTTTTCTAATTTACAAAAAGTGATTTGTGAACATGAGATGATTTATAAATGTTTAAGAGGCAGTCGCACCTGGAAAAGTTGGTTTTCTTACAATAATAAATACTTATTTCATGCATTTCTTTACACATATGGTGAAAGATGTCTGAATAAAATCATAGTCATGGGTATTCCATTGTACAGTATATTTCAATAAAAGGCAGGATGAGTTGGTACTTGCAACCAAGCAAGATGGGCCAAATAAACTACCATTATCATCATTGTTATTATCACACCTTCTGATGTTACCTTTTGAGGACAAAGTTGAATAGGATATTTGTGAAAGCAGGTAATGACACTACCTGCTTTAACAACACTACTTACATTAGGATGACCACTGAATTCTTCAAGTTTTATAACAATGTTTTATGAAGTTAATTATTCAGTTGTTTCATACGGTATATGTTTCCTTTTCAAAATATAATAGCATGGTTATGTATTTTTTATTTACAGACTAAACCAAAGGATTTTTGCCTCCTTGAGGTTCTCACGGAGCGTATAAAAAAGGATCCAAATGTAGTTCTTCCATTAGGGGTCAGTAAAGGTTTTGCATTCTTGAACATGCATTTGAAACTGCAACAAATATAGAACATAATTTAAATAATACACCCGTTTCAATATGGCATACTGTATTTTGTATTTTGTGTTAAGTTCTCATCTTATGTTAGCAAAATTAATGATATCTATCTCTCTTCTATCTGAGCAAAGCCATGTATGAATGAGATCATTTTTCAGTCTGCTTTGGCAATGTTACAATACTTCTTTAAATGATAAATACCTGTATGCATATTTGTATTGAACAACACTGAGAATGGTAACCACTTATCTCTAATATTTCTCTTCTGTAGACTGTGAAGAATTATTTAGACATAGCTTTGAGATCTACTGAAATGCTGGCAAGTCAAGATGAGAAACTTAAGTCCCAGGTTTTCAATTCTTATATGAAATCCTCAGAAGTACTTGTATCTACCTTGGTTGACCCGGAAACTACAGAACCAAATAAAACTGTAAAAATGGAATCCTTAGGTATGAAAAATCAATTTCACCTTTTGCAGGGCGTTTAGGGACATGTCCATATTTGAAGCTATGTAAAATCTTTTTTTTTACAAAAAAATAATATATTGTACCTCTGCCACAGTTTACTTCAAATGTGATGTTCATTTCCATAGCATAACATGGAAAAGCCTGTGTCTCTAGAGAATATTGGAAGGTCAGGCATGTTTTTTCTCACATTCCCACAATTAAGGACATTGAGGCACTGCTGTTTGTCTTTTTGCAAATACATTAGAAATTGTACCAGTGTAATTGATCTGGGTTTCAAGTGAGAGATGACTGCCATATTAATAAACTGACAACAGATAGGTGTACTGATTGATCTCAGCAATAAAAAGCAAACGGATTTCTTGGGTATGTAGCAAAAAGTATAGAATTGAAATCAAGATTTCAAATGCTTTAGCAAGTCCACTTTAAGAATATTATGTTCTACTTTGTGTTCTATTCTACCTTACCATAGAAAGGATTTTATAGACTCAGAGAGAGTTCAAAGACTTCAACAAGAATGTTTTGCTGTATCAAGTGATGACTTATGTTATTTAAAATGTTGTTGTTGCTGCTGCTGTTCTTTGTTTGTTTTTGGTGATTCCTTGAATGTCTTTGTATTGGAGCATACATGCAAATAAACATTTCATTGCACGTGCATTTGACAAATAAACTGAACTGAACTAAGTGCATTGCATTTCATTACGTTTCACTCTACATTGTTTCATTCTATAACAAAGACTAGGAGTAGATTAACCTATGTATTTAAATGTTTAAGACAGGATCATCCCACAGGACTCATCTGAGAAACAAGAAACACAGGATCCCAAATGGAAACTAATAGCAAATTAATTTAGGGCAGTGAACAGGAAATACTGTTTTATACAAAGATCTGTGAGTGTCTTGAACAGACTTCCCGTATAGTTGGGACCCAGCCTATGTGTTATTTACAAGAACAAAAAGAACTAACATTGTAATTTTAAATTATTTTAGACACTAAACTGCAAAAAAACAACTAGGTTTACAATCTGTCTTATGTCATTTCGAGTAAGACCAAAACTTTGAGATACTTAGAGCCTTAGTCTGTAATAATTGTCTTACATTATGCATGCCTGAGTCATTTTAAATTGCCCACGTGCCTTTATCGGTTTAGGGGAGGAACTTAAAGAGCTCTATTACAAATACTGTTTATGACATCCTGTAGATGCACACATTTACAAATACAAAATATTTTTTTTTTCATATTTCTTTCAGAGATTGGCATATATACATTTGGAGCCAAGCTAAATCTAAGCACAATTCCTCATCTCACAGTTAAAGAAAATACAATGGAAGTCAATCTTCCAGCCATTGCTAAGAACAATAATGGTAAGTTGTGATGTCAAAAGTGATTCGATCTGGATAGTGGTTCAATAAGTTTCAAGTTTGAGTCTTGGATGAATAATTTACAGACTGTGATCAGTATTTCTCACCATAGAACACAGCTGGCATTTGTCACAGGCTTGAGTGTAACTTTGCTACCTAGCTATTCTCAGTTTTCATCCCAGCAATGGCTTGTATCTCGTTGAGTGCAGTGCTGTCTTCACTGAATCTGCCAAGTGAACTCATGACAGTTTTTCTAGTTCTGCAATTTTCTGATTCAACCTTGGTTTAGAGTCCAAGATGGCCATATGTGAGATTTAAACAGGTCAGCTGTAAACTAGACTGAAAATGAATATATATATATATTTTAGAAACAAGAGGTAAGTGATACGCTAGGAGTCTCATCACTACTCCATAACCTTCAGATAGAATTAAAGAGTCAGCATCAACATCAATGAACAGAAATCTAAGGCAAGCAGGAAAAAGCATTAAGAAATAACTTTACAATGTTTTTAAATTGTTTTGGAATTTGCAATTACTTCCCAAGACATTTCTCCCACAACATTAAATGTTGCTGATATAGTAAATTCTATAACAGAGAAAGTTCCTAGATGGTTTGAAGATTCAGTTTAAGACTTAGCTATTGTCACTGTACGCACAGAAAGTTGATTAAATTGCTTTCTGGTGTTATTTTTGTTAGTTGTAGTTCTGATGTTTTAATATTACGTAATTTTGTCATTACACCAGGTTCTGCATCAGTTGTTTTCATATCCTACACTGGAATAGAAAATCTTTTGCGTGCTGATTACCTCAAGACTGAAAATGTGACAGAGATGCTTTCGGATGTTATATCAGCTACCTTAGCCAAAACAATTAACACAAACCTCTCTGAGCCTGTCAATTTTACACTGAAGCACACAAAGGTACAAGCACATGTTTTATATATCCATTAAGCATGCAAGTTTAAGGTTTGCTTTTGATTTTCTTAAAAAACAATCTTGTGAAATGTCATTACTGTTTACTGCACATATTCAATATACAGTATGATGGAATATCTGCCTTGAACTGACTTCTTGCATACAGTAAAACAAAGCTTTTTTGCTGTTCTTTGTTAGCCAACATCAGAACATGGAGTGATGACCTGTGTTTATTGGAAAGATGCAGGAGAGAAGCAATTCTGGTCTGTGGAAGGCTGCATGGCAAAATATTCAAATGAAAATTATACAATCTGCAGCTGCACCCATCTCTCTACTTTTGCTCTGATAATGCAACTGGGCAACAATAGTGAGGTATTTTATTATGTTCTTGCTTTCAAGCAATATTGCGATGCATTGTAAGTTCTTAGTACTTTAGTTATTTAATAAGACTTTTTTTCAGGTACAGTCAGCAAGCCTTTCAAAATATTTGCAGCGTGTAAAGAATACTATAGAAATCATAATTTAATATCCTGAAGCTCCTTTAATAACAAGAAACTTCAGAGCTCAATTCCAATTTAGACATATACTGTATCAGTAATAATTCAGGATTAAACAGTGCCTGCAAACGTATTTATATAATGATGAAACAGAAACCAAAATTGTCAGATAAATGATTTTCAAATTGTATAATGTTTCCTCCTTATAAAAAAAATCTAAAAATCTTAAACATTTAGAATGCAAATATCATGGCACACGTTTAAAGTCATATTTGTCATAAATAATAAGTGGAAATGATGAAGATCACTTTATCAAGATTTCTTTTAATTTTGCACTGGAATGAATTAAACTAGCTAGGTGCCTCTTGTAATAAGTTATGAAGTGCTGGCACTCAAGAGGAGATGAAAAGTCAAGACCATGCATTTTGTGTGCAGATAACCTTTGTTGAATTGGATTTACTGCATGCTTTGAATTGTAATGCCGGAATTCCCATTTTCAGCTTGAGCTTGTTGGTGGAAAGGTATCTGTTCAATACTGTATATCCTGGTATGTGTTGGATTTCATGATTTCCTCTTCCATGAACCTTCTAAATGGGTTCCAGAAACCACAGAAGCAAAATGACTCCAAAATATAACAGGTCTTCCACAAAACTTTACAGAGGGCATGAGTAGTTAGTTCACTGAAGAGACTTCTTTGCATATCAGCTATAAATGCCACACTCAAGCACGAAACATCAAATAATAGTTTATGATACTTCTCACCTGGAAATACCAGAGAATTTAACATTTTTATTTTTTTACAGTTAACTCTGAATTCACAGCCAGACCAAACAAGCTTTATCAAAGCATGAAGATCCTCTAACAAGTTCCATCTATTTAATTTAATTAATATTGTACAGTGAAACAAAAACAGATTTATAATTGTATCATGAGATGCAGAAAAAACATTCTTAATTGGGATTTCTTATTTACAGCACCGGACAAATTATGTTTCAGAGAATCATTTATTCATTTATCATTTAAAGATCTTGTACAAATCACCTATGGGAGTAGTTATCACTAATGACCCAACTTCACAAACTTTCACTTTGCATTGAAGCACCAGACAAGGATGTCCACTCTCTCCTTCCCTATTTTGCAATATTCATTGTCACGGTTCCACCTGCCCGAGGAGACGCCACTGTTAATTAGACTCAGCTTCCATCACATCCAGTAATCTCAAATACCAATCACAAATCATAACAATAAATATGTCTGCTAAATTATCTGACTTATTTCGCTTTAACTTTGATAATGCTTCTGAATAATATAGGACATTGACGGATGGAGATTCCACTTTACTTTTACCGGATGAATAGCAGCCATCAAGACGAGCATTTTACCAAAAGTAAATTACCTATTCACTATGATACTTATCACCCCTACAAATAAATGGTTCACAACATAAGATTCTATGATCTCTAAATTTTATTGGAAAAATAAAACACAATGTATTGAAAATATAACAAAAAGAATATAAATCTGGCAGACTGAACCAAATTTCCAAAACTATTTCCTAGCAAATCAACATTCATGATTTACCTTTCCTGGGTAAAACTATAAAACATCACACTCTTTTCAAGAACACGGTAATTTCTACAACCCTAAAGGCTTGGTGGAAAATAAGTGCAATCAATAATATTAAAGTGACTCCTTTGTAAGTATTCTCCAATTTGGCACAACCCAGACTTAAACGTAAATAAGAATAACATTTTTTAAATATCAGGGGAAAAAGGAATCTCACAACTACAATACATTTTGGAAAGTAATATTTTTCTTAGTTTCACAGATTTGATCCAAATTATAACATTGAAGAAAAATGTGATGTGCAATATCTGCAGCTAAGAAATGAAATGAAGACCAATATGAGTATTGTTAGTAACCCTCTGCAGCCACATACACTATTAAAAAATGAATAAAATCTCACTTTTAAAATATTGATTATCTAAACTGTAAAAAATAATTATATCTCTCCGGAATTAACAACTGGGAAAAAAATATTTCCATTTCCACAGATACAAATTTCTGGAATCAAATTTCTATTAATATTTTTCCATGACAATTCATTCAATACATAATTATTCATAAAATACATATCACACAACAAAAAATGTTTCATTGCATCAGACACATGCACACACAGTAGATTACATACTTATGACCATTATCTCCATGCATCTATCTTCCATTCCAGCAGTTTTGGAAAGATGTAATTGAAAAAAGGTCTTTCTTCACGAGTTGCAGTATTTTGCTTTACCCATTTTTATGCTTATTGGGTGATTTTTCAGTTTTAGATCCCAAGATAAAAAATTCCAAACCAATACGTGTTTTCATAACCATTCCTAAAAAATCCTATGAAATTAATAAAACAAAAATGTCAAAAAGCATGATAATGGAAGCTACTACTGAATGTTTTACACATACAGTAGTTCAACAAATATTTTGTGCATACTTCACACATTTTAACTAGAAAATGTATTTTTAGGGTTTTTTTACATAAAGTGGCCAATCCTGCAATAGCTCACAAAAGTTTGGTGGCAGACTACTTTCTAGAGCAGTGTACATTGATGCAAATGATAGGAATACACACCATTTATGCACATCTCACCTGGATTCAATTCCAGACTTTGAAGCTCTCTGCATAGAGTTTGTATGATCTCTCTGTGTTCATGTGGGTTTTCTCCAGGTGCTCTGGTTTTCTCCCACAGTCCAAAGACATACTGGTAGGTTAGGTTAACTGGTAGGTTAGGCCACCCAGATTGGCTTCTGAGGGAACTGGCCCTAAATTTAGTGTGAATGTCCCCTGTAATGGAATAGCATCCCATCCAGGTTGTATCCACCTTGTATCCTTTGTTTGACAGGATAGGCTGCAGCTCACTTGCAACCCTGTATTGAATAAAGTGGTTCAGAAGGATAATAAGTGACAGAATTAGGCCATACTGTATGAGCTTATGATGTATTGTCATGAATGTGGCCTCCACTCATGAAACAGAATGAACAACAGAGTATCCTGTATTTGCCCAAATGATTACTTTTAAATATTTCAAACCCAGTTCCAATTAAATTTGCTCAAATACTAATTATAAAAACCATGTCCAAGACCAAAACCAAACATCTTCCATTTCTTGAAAGACATTTCAGAAACCTTACAGAAAAATGTGTTTGCATTTCAGAAAAATCCTGTTCTGGATTTCATTAACAATGTTGCAGTAATACTGGGCCTGGTTTTTCTCGCCCTCGCAATCATGACCTTCATTTTCTGCCACTGGAATCCAAAAATCAACAATACCACCCGCCTTAACCTCTGTGTCTGCCTCTTCCTGGCTCAACTGCTCTTTCTTGTGGGGGTACCACGTACAGAGATAAAGGTAAGAGAAGAGTGATGGACTCTCTAATCTTACAAGAGATCAATGTAACTCATAAGTACTGATGGAATTGTATATTGATCTCTTTGTGGTTTCCTGGGAGTAACGACACTATTGTAAGTTCTAAAAACTTAAAATTACAATTACCATAATCAGGGCCATCTCAAAGGGGTTGTGAAGGGGGCGGCTGGCAGGGTCCCACGCCAGCCAGCTCCCCCCCCAACCCCAATATACAATCCCGCTTCACAACATAAAAATATAAATACATACATGTTTAAATATTTTAATAAAGCAACTCTCAAAACTCTTATCTTAACTCAAGATAAAATTTTAGGTTAGTGGGAGAGCAGGTTATATTAAGAACTGGAGGCATGTCCCGCGCTAACTGTGTCATAAGCCATCAGTTGCAAGCTAAAAGGTATTGAGACATAATTAAACTAGCTTGGAAAAAAAGTTAGCTGGTGGAAAAATGGTGAGCACAAGCAGAGATAGGGACAAATTTAGAAAATACTACAATGTGTGTGACAAAAGAAAAAGGAGGCAAAAGAGGGAGGATGCAAATGTGGCATTTACAGGGTCTTTGGAAAGGTTTGTTGTAAAAACCAGGAGCGAAGAAGAAACGGACACGAGTGGTGATCACGGGTGGTGACACAGGCCCTGCCCACCCCTTGAGATGGCCCTGATCATAATAACAAAGTACCTGATTATCTAAATCCTTACATCTATTTCAGAAACACTTCTGCCAATTCAGCCTATCCTGGCAGCAACATGTGCAAGTCAGGGTACACCCTGGATGGGACAACAGTCCATTGCAGGGCACACACAAAGAAACAGACACTCAGACACACACTCACACCTATGGTAAATTTTTCCAGAAGCCAATTTACCTACCATTATGTTTTTGGACTGTGGGAGGAAACCAGATTTACCAGATGAAACCCATGTGAACAGTTTTTTTTTTCCTATGGTCATTTACTTCATAGAAACAATGCCTCAAAATTATCTGCACAAGGCAAAAACAACTCCCTATAAAGGAAGCCTATAAAGGAGTAGAGAAAATTATTTTCAAACTGCTTGATATACTGTACTGGTGTAGATTGGCTACAACCATTACAAAACAGTATGAGTTGCCGTTTAGGCCATTATTCAAACTTTACCTCTCATACACACACAAATTGCTCTCACATACACACAAAATGCTCTCACACTCTCCATTTTACCTCTCACATTCATATAAAATACTCTCACACTCTCCATTTGACCTCTCACATACTCATGAAAATGCTCTCATAATCTCCATTTTATCTTTCGCATACACATAAAATGCTCTCACATTCACTAGTTTTACCTCGCACATTGCACACAAAATGCTCTCACATTCACTGGTTTTACCTTGCACATACACAAAACGTTCTTACATGCACTAGTTTTACCTCGTACACATAACACATACACATGTAGCGGCGAGGCTTA